GTCGTTCTCTTCATTATATTTTACTGATATTTTGCTGTTGTGTCCACATTCATATATACACGTATATGGGCATTCGTGATATTTAATAAATTCAAAAGACAAACATTATGAAAGCAAATAATAAACAGGCATATTGTCATTTTCACGTCAAGCTAAAACAATAACAAAAAAGGCACATGAAATTCAACGAAATTGACACCCGAGTCAATATCAATTTTATAAATGATATAAGAAAAATCTCTAAAATATTCAATAATATTTCATATACATTTAAATCAATGATAATCATATTTTCATTATGAGAGAGTACAAAATATTTTGTTATACTATATAATATCAATATGATTTTGTATTATATACGTAACTGAAATTAAATATTTATTATAAATTAGAATATAAATTGTTATGCTATATTACTGATAACTTATCATTCTTCTTTTCATATAATGTAACACATTGATTGAGTAGAGAATTTATCAATGATTTATTTGATGTTAAAGAAAAAATTTCGGTGTACAGCAAAAAGAAAAACGACATTAAGTGTGAATAGTAGAGACAGCCTTGAATCTTTGGATCACTTTTTAGGCATAAAAATTGAAACCTATGAAAGTTTTTTTTTTGAATATGTTGTTAGTATTGATTTACTTTTATATGCAATGGTAAAGACTTATATCACATACATATTTATATATGTATCCCTGATTAAAATAAATAGAACACATAATTTTTTCGATTAATTCTCTGCATTGTTGTTATCTGGTATAAAATCTTAGCAATAGTTTACATAGATTTTTGTTGTACTCTATCTATTCCCAAAATGTCAATCACAAATGATGAGAAATTTGCTCAAGTATTGTCCAAACAAAATTTCATTGTCATCCTGTTGTTAAAGATTTTTTTCGACACAATTTCTGTTCTCTGGTGATCCACTGTCATTTAATGTGTGCGCCATTAAATGGATGACAATATTGATGATATTTGCATATCGAACGATTGGTTTCTCATGTCAATTCTTCGGAAGATATTCCGAGGAAACTCGAAATCAATCAAACGAGTGTCAGATTTTGAAAAATATGTCTAGACAGGGCGATTCGCTGCGCTAAGATTCATGATGATTTCAGGTTTCAATTTTATAGCAATTTGACCTTAGAATAATCTAGTAGCAACATTCAGGCTCTGGTTTCTTATGAACCGAGATTTTGAGAGTCTTGCCATTCTAAGATCAGATTGCTGTAAGACTAAAATCTGACATCACCAATGAGATTCAGTGTAGCAAAGCGATCTGTCAGGACCTACTTTTCAATATCTGAAAGTTGGTTGACCGATTTTCAGTTTCTCCCGAATATCTTTCGAAGAACTGACATCAGAAACTGACTATTCGATATGCAAATATCGTCAATTTCGTCATCGTTTTGATGGTATGCTAATTACGTGGCAGTGAAACATCAAAGAACAGAAATCTTATCTAAAGATACTGTAAAATCAGCATGATAACGAAATTTTTGTTTCGACAACATCCGAGTACATGAAATACAGTTGCATATTTTTCATTATTTGTGATTGGAACTTTAGAAATAGATAGAGCAAAAACATGTGAAAGTTATGGTATAGATTTTAGACAAAAACCCAAAGACTTAACCAAAAAAATTAGGTATTCGATTCACTTTGATCAAGGGAGATATATATACTAAATTCGTATTTTTTCGTCAAATATTCCTATCATTTCTTTTATAAAACAGATGGCTATTCCTCTCTCTCTCGCTCTGTTTCTTCGCAATAATAAGTCTTAGACATAACTCAGATGCAATTTCAAAATAAACAGAAGAATTTCTAAGTCTTTCCAAGCCTTCGGTTATTTTCAATGACTGACTTTCTTCTAAGATATTTTAGTCCCTATGTTATATAATTGTTTGTTCTAACACAACAGGAATAAACAGTACTTTTTTTTCAATATTGTTTCAAACAGAATAGAGGATGTTTGAGAAAGGATATGTGATCTCACGATTTTGAAAAATAAATACGAAAAGAATAATGCTCATAAAAGCACATATGCTGATTAAAGTGATAAGAAAATGCTTTTGATAACTATAGATATGTCCTCATTTATTAACATTATTCACAAAAACGAGCACTCATTAATATAAAACAACGGTGCTAATGCTTCGTACTCTTAATACAATATTGAATAAATGTGTCATATATTAACAACAGAACACTTTTATTCAGGGTTACAAATAATAATTACGATTGTGTGGCAATCTATAGAGTCGAAACTTCTAGACGTCTAGATCCACTTCGTCTTGAATATATTCAATTATTTGATCTTTAATTTCAAGGTTTTCTTCCAGCGACTTAATTGTGCCTTGCATATTTCGAGTCCTACGTTCGTATACCTCTAGTTGTTTATTCAATAGATTGATTCGACACTTATTGTTCTCCATTGGAGGAGGCACAAGCTTTCTTTTCTTCATCTTCTATTTGTTCAACAAGCGCCTGTATATCTAGTTAATTTTGAATATAACAATGGTTGATAAAAGACTATCGAGCTTGAAGTGATGAAAAGTTACAAACGGATGAACTACTTAATTGTTGAAGAGAATGTTTGGAGAGAAGAGTATGAGTAAGAACAGCTCGCTAGTCTTTGATGACAATACATTTTACGTCGTTCGAACGATAAGCTTTGCCATAATGAATACATTTGGATACTCGAAAACAGATATGGTCTTTGAGTTTAGCATATTTCTCGTCAAACATATTGCACGTCAGTAGATCTTATTAAGGACAGTTCTTTTTAAAATGGCAGGCACCCATGCATCGAGAACATGTGTAAACATTTGCCGTCGCTAACTATTAGACAACAGGGTATCGTATATTGCCAATGAACACGATAGTGTTCTCATACAATTTACTTGAAATCTGTGTCAGGAATGCATTAGCTGAAAAGTACTTCATTGTTTTCGGTTGGAACTTAACTCAATAAAACTTGATAACATTATATATTTGTACTTCAAATATTATCTATAAATCAAGTTAAATTCGAAGAGAAACTAGATTTCAATTGAATATACTGGTAAACTCTACAACTACTTGGATTCAACTAGCCTTCAATTAAAGTTAAACGCAACTTAATATAAATAAAATAAGATCAGTTGTTTGTTCTCATCTTTTTTCTATTTTTTGTTTTTGAGTCTTTTAAAAATTTTGTTTCATTTTGCCTAAATCTCAACTTTGTGTGGCACATATATCGAGATGAATTAAGCTTACTAAACTTTCATAGGATATATATAAATATCAGTCAGAGTCTATCACGGTCTACTAAAGTTTACAACAATCCTGCATTGTCTGTGTGCGTCTTTCTGTGGCACTCTGAATTTACTGTATGACATAGAAATTTATTCTGGACGATCTTTATTTCTTAAACTTAACCATAAATTGGTACCCATTGGGGTTCGGATTGAAAAATTTTTCATACATATAATAATATTTTTGTAGTTTCTTCTAAGGTTTGTTCGTTTTATTCAAAGAATCGCAAATTTATTTATAAAAAAAACAGAAAAAGTAACAAAAAAACTTGTCCTGACTATAATCTCGAAACATAGTTACTCTTACAAATCTAGACATCAAACCATATGTTATCTAGTTCTGTACTATTGTCTTCATCTACAATATACTACTCATTGAACAATAAACAATAGAAAAGTATATCGTATTTTCAGAGTATGGATGCAACAAACTAGAATAGACTTATGATTTGCTCATGTAAAAATATCGACAAAAATCTGATTTTTATTGAAATACTTGGTTTTTCATCAATTTTAATTGACTAAAAATCATTAATAGATTTCATCAAAATTTCTCTTTTTTTGTTCAATGAACACATATCAAATGGTATCAAATCCCAAAGCATGATATACATGTTCAAGGTTAATGTGGCAGTATTCTTATCATTTGTCCAGGAGAGGGATTCATGTTTTGTGGTCATCACGATAAAAATCAATCTTTAAAACTTTAATTGATTTTAATCCTTGTTTCGATTAGAAATCGGATCAGAATTGATCATAACTTTAATCGATTGTTTTGATTCTGATCGAAAAACCCCATTTTCATAGATTACAAACGAAATGATACGAAATCTCAAGGGTTTCGATTTATTGAAGCCTGAATTCATAGAGACAATCAAATTCGTATTAGAAAATTTCTTTAAGACGATGGTTCGAGTCGGAATTCACAAAAAGATTGATCAATCAGGTCCGACTCCAAAACTGTTGATTGGCCAGATCCGGCTCCAAAAATTCTTGGGCCCGATAGGGTCTACTGTAAATACAGTGTAAACAAATGTCTCTTAGATGTGTTCAATTCTTTTGGGACACTCTACCAGAAGCATTGACAGATACTGATAGAAATAATTTTTTTGTAAATTAGTTTGCAATCGATTTGCATCACCCGATATTCGTTCTTTGGACTTTACTATTTCAAACAACAGAAATTTGATTTCAACTGTTGAGAATAAATTTTCAAATTTTTCTAGAAACTTCTGTATTAAACATTAAATATAATTTCTATAAGTCTTGATCATTCATAATGTAGTTCAGAACGATTTTTTTCCATGTTATTAAAATCAAAATTATGTTTTTCAATCTCGAGTGTTTCATTCTCTTCAATGCAATAAAACGATCTAATTAGAAATTCTATCTTTCATTTCCTTCAATAAATAAAATTGAAAAAGATCACACATAATTTTCTTTTTTTTTTTTCTTATTTGCATGCTATAATTGAAGCACGAATAACAAAAAAAACATAATATAAAACTGATTTCTGGCTTACGTGTTCCCATAACATAAAAAGAAATAGAGTGACTCACAAACAGATTTTTTTGTTTTTTTATTAACACATAAAGACAAATAAAAAGAAAGATAACTATATGTTTGTTTAAGAGGTCTATGAAGAAAAAATAATCATAATAATAATGCTGAATAATAAAAACGACATGTTTGTATTATTTAACTTCGTGGTAAACCATTTTTTTTGACCAAAGCTAAAGCTTTTCGATCGAATTCAGCTTTATTTGTTGTATATTCACTAGCAATTTCTATAATAATAATAATAATAATAATAAATATATATACATATAAGAAAACAAAAAAAAAACATACCAGCATTAAGTGCATGATCAATTTTAGGATTATCAATAAGTTCAACAACAGCTTTAACAACATCAACTAATGGTGTTGTGGGCTTCCATGTTTCATTCGAATTAAGCAAATCAACACATATTTTACCTTGTTCATCAACATTTGGATGATAAATACTTGTAATAAAACGAATTTCAGGTGGTTTAAATGGAAATTCAGCTGGTAATTTGATTTCAATTTGATAAGCAGCTTGATTATAAATATTTGATGTTGGTAAAATTCGTCCGAGAATAATATTTTGTGCTGAATTATTAGCACCTGCTCGAGATCCTCCAGATGGATCATCTATTGGTGATTTATCAAGAATAAATTTAACGGATGATGAATCATTACTTGTTGATAATGCTTTAAGTTTTGTTATTTCAGTTATTAAACGTCTATTTGCATTATTTGATGCTGACATTTGTTTTTTTGTTCGTTTTAAAAATGAATTATATAAATAATCTGAAACAAATGAAGAATTTCTTACCAACTGTCCACCATTTTTTAAATGGTAAACCATATTTTATTATTACTAACTCTATAAGTACGTTGTTACATTTATGGTCGTGTTTAGAAAAAGAGTATCTTCAATAAAGAATTGTTTTTGAAAATAATTGCATAACTATTTGAAAGATTTGTTTTCACAAAAAAGAAAATTAACAATATAAAATTTAGATTGACTAATTCAATCTAGATATAACTTTTGTCTACATGAAGTATTCTAAGTAATTACCAGGTAAGTCAGAAATAGAAAGCAACTAAGTCGATGGACATGTGAATAATAAATACAACGACTACACATCAATAAAGAGAAAAAAGAAATTAGTCTATTTATTTTTTTCTTCTGTCTATGACTAATGATGATTATTTTGTAAAAAAAAAATCCAATGGAGAATAATCATTATCAACCAATAATAAACACAAAAACCATACCTAAATAAAGTCGCCACATTCGTTTTATTTTATTTATTCAATGTGGCGTCGTCTAGATCACATTATATACATAAATAAATGTTAAATATTCGATGAATTTTTTTCTCTAAGATTAATAATGACTGATCAAGAAAATATTCGATTACGAACATTAACTAAATATAAAGAACTTAATGAACAATTACGTGAATTTCTTAAAAATATTCTTCTATTTGAAAAATCTTCATCATTAAATGAACAAATTAATTCACATATAAATGATAATGGTGGTATATCATTATTATCAATAAAAAATGATTTACTTTTTCATTATTTAACTAATCTTGTTGCTGTTATGTATCGTCGTTCAATACCAAATCAATCATTAAATTCATCATTAACACGTTCAATTATATTACGTCTTTGTGAAATTCGTACATTTATTGAAAAAATTCGTCCTATTGAACAAAAATTACAATATCAAATGGATAAATTACTTAAAAATAATATTGATCAACAACTTAATTATCGCCCTAATATTGAAAATTTTGATGAAGTTATTAATGAAAATGAAGAAATAAATATGGATAATGAAAATAAACAACACGACGATGAGGAGGACGACGACGACGACGAAGAAGAAGAAAAAAAACAAAAAACAAAAATTTATCGACCACCAAAACTTGTACCAGTTGAATATAATGATGATTTTGATGATAAAAATGAAAAAAAAACAATCAATAATAAACGTCTTGAATATCTTAAACGACGTGCTTATCATTCAGATATTTTAGAAGATTATAAAAATAAATATTCCGATGCACCAGAAGAAATTTATAATAGTGAACGTAGTCGTTTATTACAACAAAATCGTGCATATAAAGAAAAAATTTCTTATGAAGAAGAATATTTAAAACGTTTACCACAAACAAAACGTGAACGTTTACAATTACAACGATCAATGATGAATAATGATAATGATATAACGAATCATATACATGATGCTAATATTTTATTTGATGATAATATAAATGGTTTAACAAAAAAGAAAAAAGGTAAAATGTCAAGACGAACTAAAAAACGTATGGAAAAGAAAAAAACAAAATCAATTAAACGACTTAAATCAAGAAAATAAATTCGTTTGTTTGTTTTTTTATTGTTTTCTTTGTTGTTAAACGAAATGAATTTGATCATTTCATTCTTCGTTTTCAGTTACAAAAAATAAAAATCATAGAAAAAAAAATTCTATTATTGTTTTATAAAACTCACATATTGTAGAAGAAAATAGTAAGTGTAAGTTTCAATTGACATTTTTGCAGCTTCTGTTTCTATCTTAGACTCAAATGACCAGAGTTGAGAGGAGGAAGGGGCAAAGATTAGTGGATAGGTTTCCATAATAATGAGAAAATGTGCATCAGTAATAACAGTTCCTAGATTATTTTAGACTCTTCCAAAGGATTCTATGAATCTAAGATTTTTACTGTAGATTCTAACTCATCTAAATATTGCAGGTTTTGTTATTTAATGCACCAAAAGGATCTTATTATAGATGTCAATTAGTAGAGCAGAGATATTATTGATCTAGTAAAGTTCGAATAGAACGAACATGGAAAAGTATGAACCAATTGAATTCTAAGTTTAAGCGAAATTCAATAGTATGTGTCAAAGTTCGTCGGAAAAAAAAAGAATGGTGTACCCGAAAACTTACTGAACGATTAAATCAATGTTTAAAGCAGACTAATTCAATGGTTGAACTGTCGAAACGAAGAATAAAATTAAATTTGTCGCTTCCTATGGCATGTATTGTATATATTATCATTAGAAGAAAAGAAGTTATGTATTAAAGATCTATCTAACAATAGAAATAAGTTTTCTTCAGTATAACGATGTTAAATGAATCTAATAAACTGATAGAATAATGATTCTAAATGCAAACATTTTCGAAATGATAATAATTTAGAACACCAGCATCAACTATAAAAATTGTTATCATTTTGATTTATTTATTTGACATTTTTTTAAATAAATTATTTTAATCCCTATGAATCTATTTAAGAAATTCTTTTAGTAATTCCGACTGGCAATATTATGTCATTTAAGGTCGTATGAAGATGAAGAAAACACATTTAATAACAAAAGTCGAGATATTGAATGATGCTGATCTTTTTTTTGTCGCAAAAATCACTTGTGAAAGTTAATCCAGTATAAATGTTTTCTTTTGTTTTTTTTTTGTGTCTAGTGGATTTGATTTGACTATTGGATTAACAGTGTTCATTTAATGGACGTTACAATCGCCAAAAATAAATGTTGCATAAAAAAAGAATAACATAGGGTTTTCGCAGTTTCTACAATCTATATCAAGTCTCACTTCGATGCAGGACTCTAATTTATTACATATGTGTCAGGTAAAATTAAATAGAGTTTTTAAAAGATTCGAAAAACAATGAGAACAAATAACTAATCTTACAGTGGTCGCAATGTGTCCCGTTACCCAGGAAAAAGTGCAGAAATCTCAATCCTTTTGCCTGATATTTTGACTAGAAATAGAGCTCGGTGAACTCTGGTCGCAAGCAGCAACTGGAAGTCAATAGGTCTTAATGCGAAGATTCTACAAAAAAAAAACAACACTGGTTTTTCCTCTGAGGCTCAAAAAAGGCTTTTTTTGGCACTTTTCTGATTTTTCGCTATTTAAATACGTTAAACTCCATTTTCTTATTAACAAATAATGATTTTCATGTCTATATAGTGCCACAGATAAGATACTTAAATCTGTTGTAAACTTGAGGCACGGAGAAGCTTTCATTGTCTAGGACGTTGTTAAATTTTATTGAGTTAGATTTCAATCAACAATAATTAGAAACTTTCTAGCTAATGTTTTTCCAATAATAGAGTAATAAATATCTTCTCTTGAGATTTGATACTCAAAAAAAAAGTATGTTGATGTGCTTGTTCATAAAAATACTTTCGAATATCATTTTCTGATGTCGATGCAGAAGAAGTCATCATTCGTGCATACATTAGAATATTCTGTCTACTTAATAATAACAAATACATGTTGTGTTATCTTCATGAAAATGAAACTTTGAATTTGAGATCGAAGATTATAAGAATAGTTGAATAGCTCTTACAGGGACACTGTTCCAAATGATGAAAAGTATTTGGAATAAGACTTTCGTCATTAGATAAAAGATATCATTACACAAAAAAAATTAAATATTGGAATTTTAATCTAAAACCTTGCTCATGTATAGCTCTCACGAGAGAGATTTATCAACTAATAAATTGCTTTTAAGTCGAGACTATGTGTATTATATAAAACCAACTGACCTATGAATATACTGAAAAAGGGTTCGTATTTCTTTGTAGTATCTACACAACAATAAGCTACAGCTCTAAACTGTTTTCAGAGTATTCATAGTTCATTCAGTTCTACATAATTCACATAGTCTTGACTCAATAGTGATTAATCAGTTGGGAGACTACCCTCGTCAGTATCACTACAATATATCATAAATGTTATCTGTGTTAATATTTTCAGTGACAGTATGATCTAGTTAATGTGGATAGTGTTGCAAGGTTTAATTCAAAAATGAAGTTCTATTATGTAAAGAAAGAAGGAAAATTCTGATATACATTTCTAATTGTATATCTTATATTTTTGATAATTTACTCAAAATTGACTTTAGTTTTTCTCCGAATTAGTACTAGTTAAACTAATAGCATCATCATCTTGAGATTTTTTCAATACTTTTTGTGACATACTATCTACTGTCTTTTTGTCATCATCGTCTTTATTTTCTAATGAAATTGTTTTTTGTTTAATAACATTTGATTCTTGTTGTTTTTTTGAAGAATGATAATCACATGCTGATAAACATATAGTAAGAATAATTAAACAAATAAGAATAATAAATATAATAGCTGGATAACAATACCATGGACATACAAAAGATTTATTTGTCGATGTTTCTACTTTAAATTTTAAAGGAATATGATTGTCAATATTTCGTATAGGTAATGAGAATATAGATTTAAATAGTATGAAAAGAAAAATTCTTTCATAATACAATTTATTTACTATTAACATGAATAATACATACAATTTTGCGCTTATTTTTATGCGTTCAATAGTTAAAATATGAACATATTTTTTTAAATAATTTATTATTCTGGATAAACTTTTCTTTTGTTGTCAGTTTATGATAATTTCAGTTTTTATTATTATTGATTATGTTTATTATTATTTATTAAATACATAGTTTCCTATATCACTGTTCTTTCACGATCTTCTCAAATACACTCATACATTAAAAAACAGTAAATATATATCAATTAGCATAGTCTTATTTATATTGTTCATAACAATTAGAGGAAAAAAAACAATAGCATAATCTGTTCAATTTCGTGGTAAACCATGTTGTTTAAACATTTCTGATGCAATACGATTATATTCCGTTTTATTAGTAGTATATAAACTAGCCGCTTCTATAAAAAAAAAGAATTGATATGCATACATAGGAAGAAATATTAAATAAATAATACAGACCAGGATGTTTAATTTGATCCGTGCAAGGATTATCAATTATGTTGGTTACTTCTTCAATAATTTGGACTAAAGTTGTTGTTGGTGTCCAAGCCTCTGAATTAACCAAGAGATTAGTACATACTTTACCTAGAGAAAACAAACAAATAATTTCAAGATAAAATAATATTCACACCTGAAATATTATTTACCATCTCTCTCAATATTAGGATGATATATTGGTTGTCTTACAAATACTTTTGGTGCTTTAAATGGAAATTCTTGTCCTAATATCATGTGAATTCGAATAGAGCCTTGTTTGTAAATATCAGAATTCGGCAATAGTCGACCAACAATAGTCAAATCTCCTGATGATGGTGATTCATCTTCGTTATCGAAGGGTGTTGATTCAAGAATAAATTTAGTTTTTGCGTTACTTGTTGGTCCAATATTTTTAAGTTGAGCAGTTAAAGAGTAAGCTCGTTTTACGCGTTGATTTTGGTCAATTTTGCTCATTTCAAATATATAATAATTTTGTCTTCTATTATACTGGGTTTTTTTTCCACAAATAAGACCTTATAAAAGAGGCAAATGATATATATTTATACATAAAGGATGGTTTGTTTTTCTTGCGTAAAGTAGGAAAAGCAGAACAGAAAAAAAACAAATTGCGCAGTTTTCAAAAACATGATTTGAAAGGTTGTTTTATTCCTATGAGAGCAATCATCTTAGAAATGTTTTATTGCATTCAAAAACAAAAAACAATCAATACATGAGTGCGAGTTATATTTTTTTCGTTGGAAAATAATAAAATAAGATTACATTGAGAAGATTGTTGTAGGAAGTAAAATTTTTTTTCAAATTATCAGCAATAAAAATTATGTTTCTTTAGTGTGATGATTCATATACTTTTTTTAAAAAAGTTTCTGTATTCGAAATAATAAATTCATATTTAACAGCATCAATAAGCATTCCATTACTCTTACATCTCTTGAGATAGAATTATCTTTACAGAAGAAAACCACTCCTTAGCTTTGCACAAAAATCCAGATGAGTGCAAGTATACCAAAGATGTCAGTATCATACGACATTGAAAGTTAATAGACATGAACATATCATTATTTGTCTGTTCTCATATTTCTAAACACTTTAGTTCTCATCATTATTTAATATATTTTCTAAAACTATTTTCAACTCAGAAAAGTTTTCGATAAATCAATCTTAAATCGATTCTTGCAGAACAGAAATCAGAACTTTGGTGACGTTCTCTTTTTCATATATATTCATTAGCAATATTTAAATAGAAGCTAACGCAATTAAGAAAATATTTCATTGAAAACATTAAACCATTCCAAAGTGCTTTATCAATATTTAGTTCATCAATATAATCAACCATGGTGCAAATAACAAGGGGAAAAGAGTGGAATTCTATATGATTTGAAATTCAGAATTTTCTTAGATTCCGCAGAATTCCAGAATTCCGCTCTTTCCACCTTAACTAATAATCTCAATCAAAATATTTTTTGATTCTTAAGTTTATGTTGTTCTTCATGAATAAGTTGATATTTAACCTAAATAAAGAAATGAAACAAAACTTATGCGGAAAAAAAGAACCGAATTCACCTAAATATAATTTTGAAATCTATTTTTCTGTTTACATAAAATAATTGTTTCCTCCTATTTATCTTCAGATCCAATATTTGAGTGATGAATAAGTAGTAAGAATTTCAACTTCAAATAATTTAAATGAAAATTCGATAGAAATTTTCAGTTTAGCCTTAAAATATAAGTACTTCTATTTAATATAATCCATGTTGGCACTTTTTGATTATAAACAATATAATATTGATTTTGTTCGTTTTAAGCAATAATATATAAATTAACAGCTCTTTTATCAATTATCAATTTACTTGAATTCAAAAATTTTTTGATTTTGTTTATCTCAATACACACATATTTACTTATTTAGTTGATCTACAAATTTAATAGTTTATTTAAAGGGACGAAGAAACTTGAAAATTCTAGAAATATCATAAAGTGATGAATTATTCGAAGTAGATTTTTATTATATATATCATCATGTTAAAAGCAAGAAAATAAAATAGAAGATAATTTGTCAGCCATAAAATAATGCATACATACGTCCATTTATTTATATACATTATGATTGAATTTTTCTGAGACATAGCTTGTGTGCTATGAGAGAAAAACTTTCCAAGGTGTTATTTTAAATCACTTCAAAGACATATGATTTATAGTGGAAGTGATTGATAAGAGTTCCAAATCCGATTTATGGATCGAATCAATACTAGCCGAATCAATAACAATAAAATTCCTTCTTGAGCTCAATAAGAGTAATTAAACACAATATTTACTATGCTTATTCGTAGAAAAAAAATATTGAAATGTTTTATTATAGATCAACTAATAGTTCATTCTCAAGAATCGAATCTTTGTCCATGATTACATTTAGATAGAAATAATTCATCTATTTCAAATGAATTTACATTTGAAAGTAATCTTCTAAAATTTATTAATTGAGTGACATTGGATTTGAAAGCTGCTTGTGTAAGTCAATCAGTTCTCATAATAACAAGATGACTTGCAAAAAGAAAGTAAAGTCGAGTCTCACCATCTCTATTAAGGAAGACAATTGCATAAAACAATAATTATCATCTTATAATAGATTTGTTTCTTTTCTTTTTTTTTATTACTTCACCATTGTACATATTTGTCCTTGATTGATTAATTAGAAGAGAAGACAAATTAAGCGAAATTTGCTGTTCTTTAATATCTAAACATTGACTTTTCAACTAAGAATATAACAGTATATCAATTCATTTTAAATTATATTGTTATTAATTTTGAATCAACAGCAAAAATAAAATGTATTTCATGATATGCTGTCACATGAATTAAACAACGATTCTTTCTTCCAAGCATTACCAGATGCATTTGTCGTCAACGGCATCTGTATGAAATCTTGAAGCATTGAATGAATAAATCCAGAATATTTTTACATGGTATAGTAAAAAACTACAAAAGAAACTAAATTAGCATATGCCATTAACGTTTACCAAGAACTATATTGCTAAAAATTATAAAGAGCAGTAGGAATAAAACATTATCAGTCTAAAATACATGTTTATAAAAACTTATCCTTAACAGAAAGTATCTCATTCAATTGTAAACTAAATTTAGAACCCTTCAATACCTAAATTATTGTATAGAACCTGTTGCTTGAAAATTAATAATCAAATTCATAAATAAAGCACAATCTGAAAACAAAGTGTAAGTCATCTGTGGTCTGACAACGTATCAACAAGTTAATAATAGAAATTTGTCATAAACGTTTCCAGTTTAATCAACTGACTACATATTTATAGCGTTATATTAGCGATATTAACTTATGAATGAAGCTTCATACTACTTGTTGTATTGAATTCTAGTAATAAAACATTTATGATATAATCCAATTACGATTAAGACAAGACTTCTCTTCAGATTTCTAACTTGTTTAAAGATCATATCAAAAGAAATATATTCAAACACTTAACTCTTATTATTTAATGAAAATACTATAGACTAGCTAAAACATATTTATAACTTTATGATTCATCACTTTTTTTTATTAAAATAATATAATTAAAATAAAATCACGAAATCTCAATTTATGAGTATGAAAGATAGTATGTTTATGATATTCAATTAAATTTTCGATTAAAATTAAGATATATTGTAAAATTAAGTAATGAAAATTTGAATGTGTTTTGCTATCTAAAATGATAATATTCAAAATTATTTTAAAAAAGACTGCCATACATCAGATAAAAAAATCAAAAATAGTATAATTCGTTGGAAAAACAAGTCTATAAGATCTTCAATTCCGTGGCAAAGCATGTTGTCTGACACATTCCAATGCTTTACGATTAAATTCAGATCGATTTTCCACATATTCACAACCAACATCTAAAAAAGGAAAGAAAATAAATAAAACAAATGTTAAAAAAAAAACGAACTAGCACGCATTGGATGCTCAAGATTAGGCTTGTCGATATATTGTATAACAGCTTTAACAACATCAACTAAAGCCACTTTACTTGAATATTTAGCTTCTTTTACTAATAACTCATGACAAAATTTGCCTACAAAAAAAAATTGATAAATATTAACTTTAACTTTTTTCTTAGTTTTTCTTACCATCTTCAGCAACATTTGGATGATATATTTGAGTAAGAAAACGTACTTCTGGTGGATCGAATGGAAAATTTGGTGTTAATTTCATTTCAATCTGAAATGCACCTTCTTTAAATATTTCTGATTCTGGAAAAATTCGTCCAATAATCAAGATATCTTTTGGAGTTGCAGAAGCAGCTGTTTCTTCCTCATCATTATCTTCCTTAAATGGTGATTTCTCAAGTACAAACTTAGGATCTGAAGTAGTTGCATTTAATAATTTTAGTCGAGTGATATTGTTGTACAGTTCCTTATTTAATTTTGGTGTAGCCATATGTTTTTCAATCTAAAAAACTCTAATAACTCAGCAATAATGTTTAAAATAAAAATGTCAGTTGTTTTAGAGATGCAACAGACGTGAAAAAAACTTGTATCGATTTTGTTGACAGAGAAAGTGCAAAATTCGAAATGCACTGTCTAAGTAAACATGATTTTTTCATATTTTCTAACCATTACATGAAAAGATAAGAAAAAAGAAGCAGACACGACGACCAATATGCAATTATATATGAATATAGATTAATTTCAGTATCGTTCTTGATGGAGGCAGTTGAAGAAAGAAACAACGATGACAGCAAACATAAAAGCAAAACAAGCAACCATATTGAGTTTTGATTATGAAGAAGTTTTTAACATTTGTTTTTTTTTGGAAAACAAATCGTTTGTCAGTATCATTTTACTATAAAAAGAAGAACATTTTATCTATGTATACAAGTTCTTACGTAGAATAGTAGCGTATTTGAAATGGTCTCATGAAGAAACTTCTGTTTTTAAATCTATGTTACTTATAATGTAATTCTTTTCATTCTACCAAGAATAAATAACGATAAACAACATGCGTCACCTATTTATGCTTTCTTATTTTTATTGGTAGAAATCAAAACTCAAAAGTACACTTTCTTCTTCTTTTTATGAGTCAAACATGTTCTACAAAAAAATCATCATAGAAGGAATTATTATATGGTAGAATTTCAAGAATATTGTGTAATTTTGTTTCGATATAATTATATTTATAGTAATATGTGTCTGCTTGAGAATTTTCATCTTATGTACTCATATGTAACAGTCAAATGCAAGACAACTAATTACTTGAATAGACATAGAGAATAAGTCGGCAGATAAAAACTAATTTGTGTAATTTTCAAACCACGTATGATATGAAACTCGATGACATTTTATTTTCTACACAACCATGCTTAAAAGGTATCGAATCTCGTTTCTAAATAGTTTATGATTTTAAAAGAAAAAACGCTAAAAGAGTAAATTTATTCCATATCGAA